TAGTGAAAGGGAGAAATATAAATGACATACCGAACAGTAACTGGAGAATAGGAAAAATGAGTCAAAAGGGAGAATATTGTTTCAGAATAAGTATAAAATTGTGATTGGTGGATGAAACAAAGACAGTCATACAAGGTCAAAGAATTTAGTGCGGTGGTGAGCGTTTCACCTATCATTGGTGTGTTCACACATCGATCACACTTTACAGGGACCTTACTGCCGGAGACGGATATCCGTGGGACAAGGCGAGGTGTACATTTTTAGGGTTGACCTTTTCTAACCCCACCCCTTTTTGTTGGAAGGCAGCATCGCTTTTATGCTGGTTGTCTGAAGGAAACACTTTACTGCCATCACACCTCTGTACGGTGAGCAATACGACTTCGACTTCGGAATTTGGGTTTGCTGCTTTTAGTCTTACCATTCTTCAACCGATCCACCTGGCATTGGTAAGATCTTGAGAAACGATTTTTCCAACCAGTATAGCTCGATTGGTTCATCACGATAGGTAAGTCCGACCACCATGTCAAGTTAGCAGCAATGATCGTGGTTTTCCATGATTGTCTAGCTTTGATGGACTAATAAATTCAACTATTAAACTAATTCATAGTCATAGTAATAAAACTTGAATAAATGATTATACTCTTACTTACTTACTTAAATGGTTGTATCCTCTATAAATAGTCTATACATTTAACAAAAAAAAAGTTTTTTTTTCTTTTATAAATTACACAATTTATCTCTCTGGAGACAGTAAATATGACAATTTTTTTTGTAACTATGTATTTAACTTTTTTTTCTTTCAGTTAATGGATAGAAACCAACCAACCAACCAACCCAACAAACAAACAAGCAAACAAACAAACATTGAATGGGTAACGATTATGTGAATAAATGTAATTTGTTATCATTGTTTTATTTTTTAAAACATACACCAAGGTAATGTCCCCCTTTTTTCTCTTTTTTTTCCTTCCTTTTTTTCTTTTTTTCTCTTTTTTTATTTTTTTTTCTTCGCAGTTAATGATCATATGACATAACAAAGTTTGTAGACAATAGAACTTCCCCCCCCCAAAAAAAAAGAAAAAAAAAAGATGAACTTCATTTCTTGCTAATATTGTATGTTTTCAGTTTGTATAGTATCATGTGGGTAAAATTTTATTATATTTTTTAAAGTATAATGGAGATAGTTAAGTGTTGACGTTCATCTAAGTAGATAATGTGTTAAATCACTAAGATATTAAGTATAAAATATGTTGTATTTTTAACTGGACTGAAGTATCTTTCGTACATGATGTAGGGGCAGTGAAATATCACTGAGTTCTAGCCAAATCATCTGGGAGTTGCGTCATTGAATATCGAAAAGATCAACAAAAGCGCATCAGTTAATCATACACCATGAACTGGCAAATGATGTAGTGGTCTCATTAGCATCTCTGTATTCATTCTTACTAATATATTTACGTAATCAAACTCTTTGTGTTATACAGTCTTCAAAGTAGACATAGTACTTTAATACGTCGAATGGAGTGTAATCCACGTTATATGCTGACCTCGAGGTGTGAATTCGAAGTTAGCTTGTTCGTTACACTGTTCCCGTGTAACTGGAGTAGGCCTTCAATCATTCGACATAGATCATCAACGTTGATGGTCTACAATGTGCATATTTATGATCCATACTCTCTTTGATCTGATTAATTTCACACTGTGAATAATTGTGAAAAGTAATTCTAATCAGAACATGTCAACAAAGATGATAAAATTATTATGTATCAGGCCATCAACTAACTTATAATAACCTTTCGGTGGTTATAAAAAATAATTCTTTAAAACAAACGATATTAATATCATAAGGCGTCTCGTGGATATTATAGTAATTTCAATAGTTGAGTTCATAAGTCAATTGAAGCTAGAACACCATGGAAAACCTGGGAGCATTGGATGGCCGTATCGTCCTATTGTGGGACTCCTCAACAGTGCGCATCCACGATCCCGCCTAACGAGATTCGAACTCAGGACTTATCAGTCTCGCGCGCGTGCGTTTAAACTCTAGATTACTGAGCCGGAATCCAACGGTGTTAATGTTTAACTTCAACCGATCCACGAAACTGAGCGACAAATTCACCATTGTCTTCAGTGTCGCTTAATTTCGTGAATCAGTCCTGGGTTCGAATCTCGTGAGGTGGGATGATGGATGCGCATCTCTGAGGAGTACCACAATAGGACAAAACGGTCGACCAGTGCTTCCAGGTTATTAATTATGGTCTAGCTTCAATCGACTCATGAATTCAAGTATTAAAATTACTACAATCTGCTGTATAACTTCGTATATACATACTTCAAATACACGTAAGATTTATAGTTTTATAATCGTCTACAATCCAAAGTTTATTCATGTTTCATAACTGTCAATCATTTATCCTATAACATGATATGTACATATTATTTATAAATATACATTGGGCGGTTAAAATATCTAGCTATGTCCTAATGGTATAGTATAGAAGTGAATGGCAGACAAGTTATATTATTTGGATAACATTTCATTGACGACTGTAAATGTCATATATGTCGTTATGTTTAAATTCAATTAGTATTGTTTGTTTGAATCTTTCCATTCGGTGTTTAGGACTAAAATTGATCAGTCTCTTACTGGCATATGTTCATACTAAGTGTATTGCCTCGATATAGCCTTAATTCACAAGCATTATAAGCAAAAATGGGTAGTGGAAAGTAGTGAAATCCAAAGCAAAACGCGCGTCCTGGATTCCATTGCTAGTCACTATCCATCTTTCCTAATGTAAATAGTTTAATTTTCTTAATAAAGACCCCTATAAGGTTATAATAGCTAATTATGAATGTTATTATCATAAAAATGAATATTAGCTTTGTCTTTCAGTACTTATATATATTTCTAAGATCTTCTAGAACTTTCAGTGAGAACTGAAATCAACTGGAAAATTATTGGTAATCATAAGTTACTGGATATCTGTTTCTTCCCAGTTTGAAACCCCCGTGTTATACCAACAGTTAATAACACCCTAAGCTACATTACACGAGTATTTTCATCATACCAGTAAAAGTTTAAAACTATCTGAACATCAAATATGTACTTCCGGCATATTTTTACGTAATCTGATAATATAATATTATAGTGAATAGGAGAAATATTTAAGAGCAAACGAAAATGATTGAGATTTGTAGCTCAGGTGGATGATTTTGATGAAGTTTTATTCTCTGAGCTGAATGGTTCGGTAGTGAAACTTTCATCATTCTTCTTCTTCTTCTTCTTCTTCCTCTTCTTCTTCTTTTTAACAACATCGTCATTAGTCAACTACAACATAGAGTGATTTTAAATGCTGTTAAATGTATGAGGGCAGTTATTACTTCCCTGTCTTACCGCTCTTCAACCAACCTGTCTAGCATAATAGAACCCTTTAGGAATGATTGTTCCAGCCAGTAAAACTCGATTTGTTTATCGCGATAGACATGCCCGACCACCACGTCAAGATACCAGCAATGGTCAGGTTATCATTAGCACAAACTTCAAGTAGAAATAATAAAGAACTCAGATATTCATCAGGAAAAGTTTATTTTGACTGTAAATTTCTAACGAAAGATTAAATCTGAAATTATCATTTGAATTAAACAAACTATTCAAGAAAACTTGAAATGATCATTGTAGTTTTTCTACTTCTTCTTCAACAGTCCATAATTTAACAAAAGTCAAGATTCTTTGACCTTAGTTACTAACTTTGTTTTGTTTCTTTTTTCAGACATAATAATGCAACAATTTACTACTGTTCTTCCTTGTCTTACTTAGTGCCTTCGGTATTGTTTTTTATTTACGGGAGGGGGGTGGAGGGGGGGGGAAGAAGGTAAATTTGCTTTTTATAGTTGCCTTTTTCTTTTTGATTATTATTCAGATTTGACAGCAATTCGTATTTGAATCATATTTCTAATAAGTAATCATATTGTTTTTTTTTCTTTTCGGTACCGAAATTTGAAAGTAAAATAAAGTAGACGGTTTTTTTGTGTTTTTTTTGGCGGCGATACTTTTCAGTTATCATCAGTAGGAAGAAAAGCGTAATTCAAATGAATGTTATTGATGATACTATGATAAAAGTTGTTGTAACTTGAATTACTTACATACTTACTTACTCCTATTACCCCTCGTGAAGGAGCATAGGCCGCCGACCAGCATCCTCCATCCAACCCTGTCCTGGGTAAAACTTTCCAGTTCCTTCCAGTTGTTATTCATTATTTTCATATCTTCTTCTATTTCACGACGTAATGTGTTCTTTTTCCTTCCACTTTTCCGGTTCCCTTCAGGATTCCAAGTTAGGGATTGCCTCGTGATGCATTGTGGTGATTCCCTCAATGTATGTCCTATCCACTTTCAACGTCTTTTCCTAATTTTCTCTTCAGTTGGAAGTTTGAATTAATATGAATGAAGTTCAGATTATGAATTCTAAATAAAATATTTATCACTAACGTTTGTCACGGCACGACATCATTAAGGGTAATAAACATGACATATACAGTTATTTTACCTTAATGTGGGACTTCTATTCAGTAGGTAATCGTGAACTTTTCAAAGACTTATTCTTAGATCATTTGATTCAGGCTTACTGGTATTAATGTTAAGAACTTGTACTGAAACATAAATGTATTATGTCTGATATCTGATTTTTTGGAGCTACTCGACCGTAGCTAACCCATAACTAGTTGTATGTACAAATCAAACTAACCTATACAATATTTATCAACTATTAAGTCTTTGGCATGAAGTCGTAAGCAGTGTTGGTTAACAGAATTCTATCCATCTATCTATTCTTTTAGCAGTGTAACTTTCAAATTGAGTAGTTGGATATTAGAGGTATATAACCTTTGAGTTATATCACTAAAGAAATCGGTTTAATGTTTGTTAAATTTAAACATTTCAAAATGTATACAGTCTATTCTTCAAGTTGTATAATAGTAAGAATAGGATGTTATTTCACTTCATGAATTCATCATTTCTCTTTATGAAATCGGTATGTTAGTATAAAATCCTGGACTTCATTTCAACATCTAAATATCTATTACCATATTTTCATGGTTAATATTTAATAAAGAACGAAATTGTACTTATTTATTTGATAAACTACATCTTTATTACTCAGCATTATATGTGCTATCTACATCCAGCTAGGAGAGATTTCCCTGACTTAATTATCTTTCATATTAGTAATGTTTTGTTAAAATGCATAAAGCGTGAGTGACATGAATTTTGTGTTCGTCTGTGTATCTGTGTTACATACTTTTATACTCCTAATATAAAGAATGATTTAGTCATACTTTCAGAAATCAAATACAAGACAGGATTATGAAGATTGTTGAGTTCTGATTAAGATTATTCTATCTAAGCGGCCTGTTTAAACATCTGGGTTACCTGTTCCTGTTATCTAGATATTTCAACAAGTTATCTAATTTTATTTGTTTTAATTCATCATTATGTCTATGAATCGCAAAACCTATTCAGGTGCATTTCTGAAAAGTGTACAACCTTTCGCTGAAAAGTTTACAAAAGACTTAATCAGAGATATCGTGGTTGCTGGAAATATGCAGCGAGAAGAATGTACATTATTTAGATGTCGATTGACTGGTGATCACTCAATATTTATCGTCAAGAAGGATGAAGAAGTAAGAAACGGAAACTTGTTGAAGTACTTTGTGCTGAGTACTTTGTGCCAAAAATATAATACAGAATAAAGCTAATAATAATAATAATAAATCAATGAATGTTAAATCACTACTACTGAAAACCTGGAAGAACTAGACTGCCTTTTCGTCCTGGTATGAGACTCCTCGAAAGCGCACATCTACGATCCCTCGCTTGGGACTCGAACCCAGGACCCTATGTCACGTTCACGGACACATAACCTCTAGACGGTGTTAATGTTTAACTTCTGTGGATTATGATCTTCATCCATCGTATAAGGTGGATAACTGTCTCATACCCAACACAGATTGGATTTCAGTGGTCACGGCATCTCACTAGAACTCCAAGAATAACCGCTTAAAGCTAGTCACTAGTGAGCACATTATAATCATCTGTACAGAGTTGTGAAGATTGTTGAGTTCTGATTAAGATTATTCTATCTAAGCGGCCTGTTTAAACATCTGGGTTACCTGTTCCAGTCATCTAGATATTTCAACAAGTTATCTAATTTTATTTGTTTTAATTCATCATTATGTCTATGAATCGCAAAACCTATTCAGGTGCATTTCTGAAAAGTGTACAACCTTTCGCTGAAAAGTTTACAAAAGACTTAATCAGAGATATCGTGGTTGCTGGAAATATGCAGCGAGAAGAATGTACATTATTTAGATGTCGATTGACTGGTGATCACTCAATATTTATCGTCAAGAAGGATGAAGAAGTAAGAAACGGAAACTTGTTGAAGTACTTTGTGCTGAGTACTTTGTGCCAAAAATATAATACAGAATAAAGCTAATAATAATAATAATAATAATAATAATAATAATAATAATAATAATAATAATAATAATAATAATAATAATAATGAATCAATGAATGTTAAATCACTACTACTGAAAACCTGGAAGAACTAGACTGCCTTTTCGTCCTGGTATGAGACTCCTCGAAAGCGCACATCTACGATCCCTCGCTTGGGACTCGAACCCAGGACCCTATGTCACGTTCACGGACACATAACCTCTAGACGGTGTTAATGTTTAACTTCTGTGGATTATGATCTTCATCCATCGTATAAGGTGGATAACTGTCTCATACCCAACACAGATTGGATTTCAGTGGTCACGGCATCTCACTAGAACTCCAAGAATAACCGCTTAAAGCTAGTCACTAGTGAGCACATTATAATCATCAGTACAGGGTTGTGAAGATTGTTGAGTTTTGATTTATGTCATTAATCGATCAATATAAGAGCACTATTGAAAACTTGGAATCACTGGACCGCGAGACCGAAAGTTCTGGGTTGCTCAATATCGTGGATTCGTTGAGGTTAAATATTAACACTGTTGGATGATGACTCTGTGATCGTGTGAGGAACTAAAAGGTCCTGTGTTCGAGCCCTGCGCGCAGTATCATGGATGCACAGTGTTGGTGAGTCCCATACTAGAACGGAACAGCTATTCAGTGCTCCCAGGTTATCAAAGGTGGTAGTCTAACATTGATCGATTCATGATCTCAATCAGAGTCAAATACAATTTATAAAGATATTTAATAATAAAATCACCAAATATCAAACAAATACTATTTACAGTCACTACTAATGAGAATGATTGAAAGATAGACATGAAATATGATATTGTAATCTGAAAATTAATTCCATTCAATTTTCCTCCTCTACAAAATCTCATACAAAATAAATTGAGTATAATATCAGAGATTAAAATTTAAACAATCCCAATGTTTCATTCATTCTTCTGGTTAGCGTTTTCTTATCAAGTTGGTTTCCTACGGGATGGGGTCGCAAACCCCATGCCTAACCCTCCTCCTTTACCCCGGCTTGGGAACGACAGTAGCCCCCGGAGGAGCTATAGGCGCGAGATAACAAACCAGATTCCAGCAGAGGAGGAAATCAGGAAGAAGCGCTGGAAGTGCATAGGACACACATTGAGGAAATCATTCAACTGCATCACACGACAAGCCCTCACATAGAATCCTGAAGGTCAAAGGAAAAGAGGAAGACCAAAGAACACATTAAACCGAGAAATAAAGACAGACATGAGAAGAATGGACAAAAGTTGGATGGAACTAGGAAAGAAGGGCCAGGACAGAGTGGGTTGGAGAATTCTGGTCGTTGGCCTATGCTCCATCGGGAGTAACAGGCGTAAGTATGCAAAAGTAAAGTAATGTTTTATTCAACAAAATTGTCTGGTTAATAATGATAATCATAATTGGTATGCAATAGATTAATACCATGGTTATATTTTTCAAAAAAACTGAATCACCCTAATAATGTAATCATAAAAACCATGTACAATGAATAAAGTATAAAGATGAATACGTCTTCAAAGTGTAATAATCAAACTAAAGTAGTTTGATGATTCTGTAGTTAATATATTTTATCAGTACTTTGTGCTTAATGCTAACAAATCATCATTTCAGTGGATAATCACTGATGAATGGTTATTTGATAATAATCAGTGTATCTACGAGTTCAGCTGCTCCTATGGAGAAAGCTATATTGGGCGCACTACCAGACAACTGTACCAAAGAGTTAGTGAACACCCACCTTCGTGATTAGGAAAAAGTACTGTCAAGGCAATAAGGAGCTTGGTTCCTTCACACTTGATCGATAGCGGTCATATAGTAAACAGAAATAAGTTATTTATCGTATCCCTACTTGTTTTCCTTATGGGGTTCGATCTTGTCACTTAAACATAACAAAAGCTATAGGAATTCGAGCTAACAATCCAAGTCTTTTTGTTCATAAGAAATTTGTAACACCCTTATCTCTCCCTTGGCCTTAATAAATAATTTTGTTTTCAAAACTCTTTCTTCGTTTGTTTCTTTCCACCCTCCCTACCAAGTTTTGTCCCTCAAATATACGTTTCACGGTCCAATTATCGTCTTATTACGTAATCTTATATTTTTTATGAATGTTATCTTAGTGTCCATATTTTTTCTAATCATTGACTTATTTCCCGTTATGTAATAGTGATTGAAGGCTTTGTTATTGCTACTAGTATACCTGTCATCACACTATCAATTTGTACTCTTTACTTATTATGTTTAGTTATATAATCTATTCCTCTATTAACATTGACTGATAAACTGCGTTAATTGGTCTAATAATTTTGTATATGCATATAGATATTATCAAAAGGGGTTTTAGTGGAGATTTTAGTAATTTTATAAAGTTGAGATCATGAGTCAATTGAAGCTAGACCACCATAGAAAACCTGGACTGACTCCGTGAGGTATTTCCTGGAGTTCTAGTGAGAAGCAGTAACCGGTGGAGTTCAACCAGGTCTGTTGTGAGATAGTAACTCACTGATGACATTGGTGAATGGTTTCTCAATTTCGTGGATCATTTGAAGTTAGACATTAACATCGTTGGATGCCGACCGGCTCAGTGGTCTATCGGTTAAAGGCTCTGGCTCGAGACTGGTAGGTCCTGGGTTGGAATCTCACGAGGCGGGATCGTGGATGCGCACTGCTGAGGAGTCTTATAATAGGACGAAACGACCGTCCAGTGCTTACAGGTTTTCGATGGTGGTCTAGTTTCAATTGATTCATGATCTCAACTTTATATAAATATTACTTTATAATAAAGTAAAGCGTGATGAGGATCTAATCAAAATACTTTGTATTGAGAACTCTATATTGTACTAAAATTATAATATTGAATAGAATAATAATAATAAACTTCTTGGTGTTAATACCCTGTGAGGATGGTCCACAGGTGAAGTTGAGGAAGCTGTAAGAAGTCCAGAAGGAGCCGGACATACTCCATTCAATCAGCTTTTGGAAGAATATCCTCGATTCACTACGTGTAGCTTTCCTATTGGACAATGCTGGTAACTCCCTGTGTGCGGATTGGATAACTATAATGATGATTTTATTTCTACCTAAAACTATAAATACCTAACAGTTTTGTACTATATTCGACACTGTTTGGAATAACATTCCTTCTACTTGTCTTCCATCTTCTGATTTGTGACGTGTGAGGGTTCCAGCGTCAGAGTGCTCAAGTGTTGTGCGATAGACTAAGAATCTAAGTTCGAGATATAACATACCCGAAGTTTATGAACATTAGTTGCCAACTCAACGATCAAAAGGCTAGTCACTTATCACATGACCTGAAGACCCTAGGTTCCGATTAATGGTAAAGGCATAAGCACTCATAAAGCTTTACACTAGGATGAAACATCGATGTAAATGCTTTACGGTCTTCTTAATGTTTGTTTCACCAAAGTCAGTTCTTGTTGTGAAAACTTTAAATTCAACTGTCACCATAAAAATTTTATAATAAAAATTTGAAGTATTCTACACAACAGTTGAGTTTAAGTTTATATCACTCATCATCATCATCATCATCATCATCATCATCATCATCATCATCATCATCATCATCATCATCATCATCATCATCATCATCATCATCATCATCATCATCATCATCATCATCATCATCATCATCATCATCATCATCATCATCATCATCATCATCATCATCATCATCATCATCATCATCATCATCATCATCATCATCATCATCATCATCATCATCATCATCATCATCATCATCATCATCATCATCATCATCATCATCATCATCATCATCATCATCATCATCATCATCATCATCATCATCATCATCATCATCATCATCATCATCATCATCATCATCATCATCATCATCATCATCATCATCATCATCATCATCATCATCATCATCATCATCATCATCATCATCATCATCATCATCATCATCATCATCATCATCATCATCATCATCATCATCATCATCATCATCATCATCATCATCATCATCATCATCATCATCATCATCATCATCATCATCATCATCATCATCATCATCATCATCATCATCATCATCATCATCATCATCATCATCATCATCATCATCATCATGTACCATTTTACAATAAACAACTAGATTATGGACACAAACGCATTTACTTTAAATGAATGAATGGTTCTTTTTTTTAAATAAACAAAGTTTCTTTACTTAAGCAAATTAAACTAAGGTATTTTCTTCTATACCAATTAATGATAAGGTATGCCTGTATATAAACATCAATTAAGGTTTTCAGTATAAGTTATTTGATTAGTTTTTTTGTGAAGGATAAATTATGCCACTATCATTCATGTTTGTGTATGTTCAAAGATGTTTCTATGCCAATGGTCATATCGTTTTAATCAGTAATATAAAATATGTATTTGAATTACAAAGTAACTAATTAATCAGATGTATATTTACATTTGATTTGTCTTACTTATTTATATACTTACGCATGTTATCCTTCGTCGAGGAGGATAGGCCACTATTCGCCATCCAACTCTGTCCTAAACAGTCCTTTCCAGTTGCTTCCAGTTGTTTGTTATTCATTCTTCAAATGTTTGCTTCCAATTCTCAATTCCACGTGGTGTGTGTATTCTTCTATCGCCCTCTCTCCCGTTTCCCTTCACCATTCCATTGTATTCCATTCCAGGTAGTAAGCGCTTGCCTGTCTCATCATACAGTTTGCTGATTTATTTGCACAATCTTCGTCCTATCCACCAACTTCATCATCTCTCTTTCTAATTTCCTCCGCCACCTCATCATCATCTGGAACCTGCTGCTTTCTTACCTCTCACAGTAGTAGTAGTAGGCTGTTGCTGTTGGTTTCCGTCCAACCACGCACATTGATTATCTTGTGTAGACAACTCTTCATAAATACTTGTACCATTTCGATGATGGTTGTGGTAGTTGTGGAAGGAAGTTTCATCTCCTTTCATACAGTATAACCGGATGTGTTCACGTTTGTATGGGAAATTGTGAATTTGATAATGGTTGGCAGACAGTTGTGTTTGAGTTGCATATGTTGTTCATTTGTAGGAATGTGGTTCTTCCTTTGCCTATCCGATCCTTTACATCTGCATTCGATTCTCCTTGTTCATCGATGATACAATGCAGCTGACCCGATACGTGAAAGATTCTATCTGTTCCAGAGTTTCTCCATCAAGTGTGATTGTGTTAATGTTCTCCGTATTGTATTAGAGGATGTTGCTTTTTCGTTTGTGTACGTTTTGTCTACTAACTCATATTTATAGATTGAAAAAATGAACTGTACATCTAACGTTATAGAAAGTAAAGGTGAAATCTTAACAGTTAATAATTGAAATAGTAAATATCATTCTGTTTTATATAGTTGAGATAATGATTCGATTGAAGCTAGAACACCGTGGAAAATCTAGAAGCAGTGGACGACCGTTTCGCCTTATTATGGGACTCCTCAGCGGTGCGTATCCACGATCCCACCTCGCGAGATTCGAACCCATGACCTACCAGTCTCGAGCCAGAGCATTTAACTGATGGACCACCGAGCCGGCATCTAAAGTTCTTAATGTTGGATTTCACCTTATTGCTATTTAATCAAATAGAAAGTGAGGATAAATTAGAGTTTTTTTTTAAAATTCAGTTTGAATACTGTACTGATTAAATTATCTCCTCTGAAGATGGTCCTAGAAATAGTTAACTTTGTGTTTAATTGTCTTCTTTTGAAATGTAACATTCAACTCTCTACGGAATAATTGTTGTCATCATCCTATAAATCATCTGATAATTGCTCCTTATTAAGAAGCTTTCAGAATACATTATGAATCTATTTAGCACTTTGAATGACATATTAAACCAATGGTTTACGTGTTACCTTTAAGAAATGAGACTGATAACTTTCAATAACTGAGGCTAATTCAGAAGCAATACTGCTTTTCAATGCTAAGAATTCGTATTCTACAAATCAATTCCTCTTGGATCTCAATAATTTTCTAACTAATCAGTCGATACTATTGATAGTCTGGTCAAGTATAAACACATCACATCCATCTGCTTATAAGCTGTAGCTAAGTAGATAACGCGATCGCGTTTGAAGCGAACAGTACTGGGTTCGAGTCTCAGAGTAAACATCAACTCTGAGATGCAAGTGGATCCAGACGACGAGTTCTAAATAGGACGAAACGCACCTCAAACTGGATTTCACTACTAGCCACTATCCATCTTTGAACATTTATGAAAAAGAAAGTCAGTCTCACTTACTTTATTCTTCTTCTATGTTGTGTATACGCTGATTTTGACACATTTATCAAATTTATTTCTAATAGTAATCCAATATTTACTTCAACACAAATTCAATAATCTTTGTTAAAAGGTTTCATGATATAATTTGATCATAAATTCCCGTAGTTTTTACAAGGTAATGATTGAAATTAATTTTAATTATTTGAATAAATCTCTCATCTCCCCAGTGGCTGTATGGACACTATTAACTTTAAAAAAAATAATCTGAATTTATAACAACAACAACCATTCACCTGATGTTTAACCACACATAACATGTAGAATGTATAGCCATTAGCAGTGAATAATACTGCAAAATCAAGCCTTAGCTGCCAACTTAATGGTGTTGGATTATCATCCTACTTCTTTAGCTTACAATCACGTGGATCCAAAGGTATGCTTCATTGAAGAGGCTTAAACGTGAGTGAAACTACTGTTTATTAAAGTCTGGCTTTAATAATTTCTAGCCTGTACATAATTCATAATCAAAACAATGTGTAAATTGAACTAATCAGCTGTACATCTTGGACCAAATTTTAAGAAGTAATATTTAGCAATTGAGGTAATCCCCTTATCATAGGGTTGTTATATTCTGAAAATGAGGACTTTTAGAAATTTTATTAATTTTACTAGATGAATTCATAAGTCAACCTAAGATCAACCACCAATGAAAACTTGGAACCATTCAGTGACTGTTTCGTCCTAGTATGGGACTCATTAGCAATTGGGATGCACGATTTCACACGTGAGATTCAAACACAGGTCCTTCAATTTCGTGCACAAGCGCTTAAGCCATTATCCAACGGTGCTAATATCTCACTTCAATCAATTCATAATCTTGTACAACCCTACATCTATTGTCTGAATTGAATAACTAACTATCTCACATCCAACACAATTTGAAATCCACTGACCATGTCTTCTTACTAGAACTCTAAGAAATTCATCTAGAACTAGTCATAAATCCTTATTCTCTTATATATTTTTATTTCTATTTCAAAATAATTCATTTAAATCAAATTGATCAACTTGTTAAGTATTCTAATATCAAACATCAAGTCATTGAACTAACCATATTCTATAAAAAGTTATTAGATTTATGATAGTCTACAATAGTTCATCATCATCATCATAACAACTATTGAAAAAGAAAAAAAAAAGAGAGAAAGAAAAAAGGAAAGAGAATAAGTATATCAAATTTGTACTTTTGCCAAATGTGTTAAATGATTAGTAACCGTTAAAGTATATACCTATTACTTCTATATATAGAAAAAGATAGATAGATAGATGGATACAGATATGAAGAGATATATGTAAATCTAATTCTCATGTAGAATTGATGTAACCAACTTGAACTTTACACGAATGAGTGAAAAATATTTTTTCTCTTTTTCTTTCTTTCATTTCATATTATGTAAATTTCTTTATGCCTCCTATCTAATCAAAGAATGCACTTGTGATATATATATATATATATATATATATATATGTATATGATGTTTAATCATCATTTAAACTATTTATTTGGCTTGTAAGCAAAGATGAATAGTAGCTAGTAGTGGAATACAGTTTAACGCGCGTTTTGTCCTGTTTGGGACACCGTCAGCTGGATGTACCTGAATCTCAGAGTTGATGTTAACTCTGGAACTCGAATCCAATAACTTTCACTTTAAACGTCATCGCGTTATCAACTTAGCCACTGAGTCCTGACAGCCACTTGCTTGTGCGATGGGGTGAAGTTTAAATTCATTCAGTATTGTTTGATTAAATCTTCCCATCAATGCTTTGGACTTCAATTGGTCAGTTTCTAATTGGCATATGTACATCCTGTATATATTTCCTTGATATAGCCTTAATTCACAAGCATTATAAGCAAAGATGGATGGTGGCTAGCAGTAGAATTCAGTTTGACGAGCGTTTCGTCTTATTTAAGACTCGTCAGCTGGATGCACCTACATCTGAAAGTTGATGTTCACTTTGGGACTCGAAGCCAGTTCCTTTCGCTTCAAACGTCATTGCCGTATCCACTTAGCTACTGAGTCCTGATAGCCACTTGCTATGATTCAAACAAACAATACCAAGTGAATTTAAACTTCACCCAATTGCACAAGCAGGTGGATAACAGGACTCTGTATCTGAGTGGATAACGCGATGGCGTTTGAAGCGAAAGTTACTGGGTTCGAGTCCCAGAGTGAACATCAACTTCGAGATGCAGGTACATCCAGCTGACGAGTCTCGAATAGGACGAAACGCGTGTTGTGGATTACACTGCTAACAACTATCCATCGTTCCTTACAAAGATAAGCACTCTATTTACTATAATCAAATCATTATGAAAGAATTTTAAATAAATAATCAATATTTAGGAATATTAACACATTTGATACATGGGATGAAGCAAGTAAGATACATTGTTTAAATTTATAGGTATTTAATGCCAAGATTGAACATGATAGTGAGATGGTGAAGAAGATTTGTGTCTTAGGTGGATGATTTTGATGGAGTTTTGTTCTTTAAGATGGATGGTCTGGTCGTGGAGCTTTTATCGTTCTTCTGAATGACATCATCAGCACAAACTTTGGGTAGAAGTGAAGTGGTTGAATTCGTCCATATGTGTTTTACAGCTTGTTTTGCACATCTCTATGTTGATTGGTTCTTGTTGACCTTAAATCTGTCAACTTCACTTCTACCCAAAGTTTGTGCTGATGATGTCGTTCAGAAGAACGATGAAAGCTCCATGACCAAACCATTCAGCTGAGAGAACAAAACTCTATAAAAAAAATGAACTTGATAGTTTTAAATAAACAAAGCATTAGGTATAAAGTTAAT